ATTTAGGAAGAGGAAGAGGGTTTTTAGCACAAGGACGACGCGAGAGCGGTTCACACGTGTGCTTAAACCTTTTAAAATATTTTGGTAATTCGTTTTTAATTAAACTATAAATATGTTTATTTAAATATATTTTTAAAATAAGTACGATATTTAAAAATAGACAATAAAGAAAAATAAAAAAAACAAAAATAGAACTGGGAGGGAAGGTTGAACGAACGTTGGGGAGGCAGTATCAGCATAACGAGCGTTCGTTAGGTAAAGAAGAACGTTCGTTGGGGGATTTAAAGGACGAACGTTGGTAACTAAGGCTGAAATGACAACGCTCGTTCGATAAGAGGAATGAACGAACGTTGTGAATGTAGGTGAAGGAACGAGCATTCGTTGGTGGATAGACGAACGTAGTTGAGACGGAGAGATGACAGCGTAGGATGAGTTTTTTTTTTGTCTTTTTTTTTTTTTTTTTGTTTTTTTGAATAAATGAAGACTGGGTAGTTCATGATAGTGGTGACGCAACACAACGATTGTAATGATAGTTGTTTTTTTTTGACCATTTTTGAGAACGGACGCTGAGAGAGGAGGAGTCTACGACGCTCGACTGCGGGGACGGGTTCGTTTGGGTAGAGTGAGGTGGAATGATGTCGGACGAGCGCTCGTTTGGAGAGCGTCGTTGTGCACATGCGGTGGATGGACAAACGACGGCGACTCGTTGGGACCGAAGCGCCTGATGGTGTTGGGACAGATGGGCTGGATCCTGAACACGAATGATGCGAGCGCCGTTGGGACGAGCGTTAATAGGTCAGGATTACGAGTGCTGGAGACGAACCCACATACGAGGAGTGACGATAGCGCTCGATGGGACGAGAGTTACCATAGGACAGGATCTAGGGCACTGGATACGAAACGCCCCCGAACACCAGACTTAGCGCACCAAACAGCAGCGCTCCGAACTGGACGAGCAGAATCCCGGACGATAGGACTCGGCACCCTTGTGGCATGCAAACGACTCGTTATGGACGGAGCGTTCGTTTGGGGACGAGCGTGCTTTGGGGCCAATTAGGTGGATGACGGACACGAATGAGAGCGTTCGTTGGGGGTCCAGATTAGAGCTGGAGACCAACAGCTGCGTTAATGGGCGAGCGTTCGTTTGGGACGAGCGTCGTGGCAAATTAGGCTGTGGATGACGAAACGAATGACAAGCGTTAGTTGGCAGATTAGGCTGGATGACGAACGCTCGTTATGGACGAGCGTTCGTTTGGGACGAGCGTTCGTTGGGCAGATTGGCTGGATGACGACGAATGACGAGCGCTCGTTTGTGGACGAGCGTTCGCTGGCAGATTCGGCTGGATGACGAACGCTCGTTATGGACGGCGTTGTTTGTTTGGGATGATGAGGAGGGACGACGACGTCTGTTATGAGCGAGCTCGTGGGAATGACTGAGGCGGGATGACGAACGCTCGTTATGGCGAGCGTTCGTTGGAATGTGAGGAGGGATTGACGACGCTCGTTATGGACGAGCGTTCGTTGGGAAGATGAGCGAGGGTGACGAACGTTTCGAAAAAGGCCAAGCTCTGACGTACGTTCACTTTCTGGGTTGGCCCATCCCAATAGCTTCTACCTAGAATTTCCTAGGGGTTCAGAGATTCATCCTCATTCTCACTCATCACCCACTAGACCCAACACCCTCCCGTAAGCTCCTTTCGTATCTCACCAACTCTCCATGGACCCTAGTTTTTTCCTCGACCAGGAACACCCAAATCTGGGAGGCACGCGTGCACCTCGCTGGAACCAGCCACCGCCTACCTGCCAAGACCACAGATTGGCTCGACGTGTGACAACCTGACTCTCGCCTTCGAAATCGCCAATCCCAGGGACGGTTTACCTCCCCGCGCGCATCCGTCTATCTCTTCGGCCACTCTCCTCACAGCCACGGCAGCCGGACTCAGCCTAACTGCCCATTACAGCGGCAAGCCCTGATCTCCCCACTCTTCGGCATATCCACCACTATTCCTTCGCGAAGCCAGCCCACAGCGCCCACCACCCGTATTAGTCTCGACGTTGCCAACGGCAACCACACTCCACCGGGTACGGCTTACAGACTGGTTTGCGGCATTTCAACCCTCTCTTTCCCTCTCGTGATGACTGGACAAGCAACTCCCTGGATTGAACTCTTTTGATTCTACGAGACCAGCCGACTTGCGGGAGGTTAAATTGGGGTCCTTGCAACTTTCGAATGAGGAGGAAATGGTTATGGCTTTGTATAATGCAGGTTGAGGATGATGGTGCTATGGTGGGTTGGGAATGGAGGGTCCCATGGAGGAATAAGCGGTGACCGTGAGGCTGTCCTGGTAGTGGCGTGGGCAATATGGATGATGGTTTATGAGTGTGATGGGGATGAGGTTGACAAAGCTTACGTATGTGCCACGTGATGAGGGTGGGGGTTTCATACAGTGGTAATGGAGATGATCAAGTGTGGGACGTGAAATTGATGACGCGGGGTGTTAATGTGTTCGGTGGCAGTGGGTGAATGGATTGGATGATAAGAGGAAAGTTGGAGTTCAATGTTAGAGAAGAGATGAAGATGTGATGCTCAGAGGAAGAAGATAAACAAATTGCCTATTAAGATTATAAAAGGGAAATAGAGACTGACATAGCATAAACAAAATGGAATAAAGCATCATGACCACACAGGGGAGCAAGAAGCTTACCTCATCGGGCATAAGGCATTGCTGTCTAGTTATATCGAATATCCGGTGACTTTCTCTAGCTTTTTGTATTCATCTGTGTCCATGGTGAGTCTGAATGATGAGTCCCCATGATCGTCCTCGTTGTTTGTGCCCTTTTCTTTTTTCCTCTCTCTTGATCCAACCAAATTCACCCTCCCAAAATCCTTGAAATATTCCCTTGTAACCACACTGGTCTCGACTCTGCTGAGACATTCGTCTCCATGCCATTGCCAAGCGTTTCATCCCTTTTTTCTCCATTTTTTACTTATTTTCCAAATTTATTTATTTAGTTTTTACTTTATTTTTAATTTAATGTATTTTTGCAATTTTTTATATTTTGATTAATTAACACTATTAAAACAAATTGACATAAGAATAAAATAGAAAAATAATAAAAGCAAAACTAAATACATAAAAAATAGAATAAAACAAAAAAGGTAATAAAAATAAAATAAATAAACAAACCATAAAAAAACACATTTTTTCAACCCGGACAACATTTTGGTTGTTGACAGCGCCCCTCTTACGTACGATACTTACAATAATATGAAAATGTTATCGTTTCGTATTATTTAAGTAAAGCGTAAGTAAAGATAAAGACACTAATTTTGTCCGGGTTTCAATCCTGAAAGAAAACGAACAAAACAATTCAAGTCCGGTGCCAAATGACCACAGTAAGTATAACAAAAACTAAAACAGGGATTTGACCTTGCACTCGTGCGACCGTTCGCGTCGGCCTAGTACTCGTTACCTTCTTTTTCTCGAAAATATTAAAAATATAAAATCTCCAAAAATTAAAAACATCTGCTTTTCCAAACAACAAACAATCTTTTAGCTAGAACTACGTAACCCTGATTTCTCATTTTGAATGAGAATACGTAGGAGCAAGGTCAATCCTTGTCGGGCCCAAAAAACTAAAAAATATGTTTTGTTTATTTGGAATCTTATTTTAGGGGATAATTAAACATTTTGAAAAACCACATCATATTCGTGCATTTAGTTAAAGGTACTGCCTTAGGGCAGGCGTTGTAGGGTGCTAATACCTTCCCTACACGTAACCGACTCCCGAACCCAGAATATTGTTTTCGTTGACCGTGCTTTATCTTTTTGAGGTTTTTCCATAGTTTTCCATAATAAACTATGGTGGCGACTCCAAAATCTCTTTTTAAAACCCGTTTCTTTTTTGGATCATCGTCCCGTCGCGATTCCGGTTGCGACAAAAGTTTATAGTTTATAAGTTATCATTTAATAATTTATTAAATGACCAATTAGTTAAAAGTTAAAAAAAATAAAAAATAAAAAAATAATATAGATAAATTTGTTTAAGAATAAAATAAATGAATAAAAAGGTAAAATAAACATTATGCACATGTAATAGAAAAGTAAAGATAAATAAAAAAATTTAGAAAATAAAATAAATAAATAAAAAAGTAAAATAATTTTTATGCATATTTGACAACAAAATAAATATTAAAAAAAATTAAAAATATCAAATGAGTAAAAAAATTAACTTTTTCAGACACTTGTCAATAAAATAAATAAATAAATAAATAAATATATTAATATATATTTTTCTTATATCAAAATAAATATTAAATGACTAAAAACTAAAATTTTGAGATACTTATTAATAAAATAAAATGAATAATAAAATACATTTATAGTATTTTTTATATTATAATAGATTGTATATTTTTTTTTATAAAAAAAGTAACAGATTATCAGTTAGTAAAATATGAATGTTCCATTTAATAGAGAGAACTAAGATAAAAAGAAAGAGAAGAAAATGAAAAGATATATTATTTAGTTAAAAATCAAATGAAAAATAAGATAAATTTATTTATTATTATTAATATTATAAAAAAAACTGTCATAATCAATTATGATGTTTTATAATTAATATATAAAAAACACTAATTACTTTAACAACATATTTTTCTTAAAAGAAGCAATGAAACCATAAAACTTTTCTTTAATACCTCCAAATCAGCTTAAACAAATAAGAATCATGCTCTCCAATTCCCTTATTTTCATCCAATACACTGTTCCATGGTGCAAGCAGAGAGACTAAGTTATTATATTTTGATGGAGTCTGCTTAATAAAATTCAAATTTAATCAACCGGATAATTAATTGTCTCTTTCTGACGATTTCGTGCATCCCTAAAATGATCCAAGTGACAACTTGCGTTACAAGATTTTTTGCTTAAAGTAGATTTGGGACGTGGCAAAATCTGTGTGGTGAATAGAAGGGGCAGTGCATGGCGTTCACCTCAAGAGTTGAGTATGAAATCGTTGACCTCTCATGCGGTTGCTCCTGTGCTTTCAAGCATTAGTTGAGAACAACTAAGAACCAGAACACAAGAACAGTACCCCAAACCCAATGGATTGTGACCCTTAAACCAATCTTCTTACATTATTAATCTTCCCAAATCCTGGTATTTTCATCTGGGTTTTCTTCAAAATCAGTTCTTTTTTTCTCGTTCTTTATATCTCCTTCCCCATTTATTCTTGTCTCCCTTCTTCTGTTCTTAGCAGCTTCTTTTGTTGATCATCACTCATGTGGGATATTTAAGGTGACTACTGACAACCCATATTTCCCAACTTGTAATTTTGGTATGCTTAAGTTAGATATTAGCACTTGTTATTTTCTATGTATCCTCGTAATTTTTACATTCTGAATTTGACTGCATTTCTGGTTATTTCGCATATATAAGGTGGCGTTTTCATGCTTGTTTATCTTTATTGGTTGTTTATGTTTTATGTTTAATAGTAGGGAGTCCTGTTGTTGGTCAATTTGTAATGTTGAACTGATGAAGTAAAAGGGTATTCTGCTGCAGTCATATAAAGGGTTGCAGGTTACTTCTTAAGTGCGTGTTTCTTTAATGGTTAAGACCCAATTGTTAAATGATTGTCTTTCACAACTTTTATTCGAGTAGTAGTTTGAAGAGTCCAGAGGAAAACAAATTGCATTGTAAAAGTTGCTTTCTAAACTTAATGTATGAAATGCAGCTCAGACATACCTAGCTTGATGGCTTTCTTACGGATAAACTTTGGTGTAGCACTTTTGGTGCCATTTTCTATTTATAATCAGTGCTTTTTAGTCTGCCTGGTTGTATGTAAAGAAAGGAAGGGAAATGTTAGATTTGAATTGAAGAGAAAGCGGAAAAAAGAAAAAAAAAAAGATTTCTTTTTTCTACAAGTATTTCTTTAATAAAGGGGAAATATGCATTATTACCCTTTCTTTTCTTTTCTATCCACCAAAAGTTTCTAGTCTGAAACTTCAACTTTAACCAGAGAATAGTACCTAAGCTACCTAAAGTACCGTACTGAAATTTTGTTCTTTCCTTATTTGATGGTTAACTTGATACTTTAATCATTGACATCTGTTAAACGCTAGGTTTGGATTTTTCAACTCTTAGTTTTTAATCGAATTGAAAATTTCTAAAGTCAAAATCTGTTCTGAATTTTCTTATATTTTTAGTGCTAAAATTGTAGGTAACTATTAATATTTAATATAATTAATAATCCTAGTAAAGGAAAAGGCTTTCATTTACTTTCTTTCTCGTATTGATGTTTTCCTTTAATGTTTATTTTTCTCTCAATTTAATTTTTGACATGTTTCAAACAAAAACCTCTGAATCAAGTTCAGTGCACAGCTTTTACAAGCCAGAGTTCGATGTATGGATTATCTTGGAAATCTTGGTTTCTGATACCTTGAGAAGGTCCCGCTATGAATTAAATGCAAATTGACCCTCATGGATTTGTACAAGTGCATGCTGATCTTGCTGTTAAGATGTCAATTGAATATCTTATGTCATTGGAACCCTGATCTCCAACATTCTATTTAGGATATCAAAGTTAACAGATGATTGATATGGAATTTTCCTCTTGTGTGCCTAGTATTGAATGATATGTTATAATCAGTCTCTGCTCTGCTATATAGTGTTTTCTCAAAGTCAAACCCGTGAAGAGAATGTTTATTGGAAGGGATATAGTACTTTGCTACTTTTTATTACTAATTTAATTTGTCAAGAACTAATTCAGTGCTGATATTATCGTCACAAGTTCTAAAACAGACTCATGGCTCCACTAGTCAATAATAGACACTTAAATAGCAAGCTCCCCGTGCATTATTTCGTGCAGGCTTTGAAGTAGTATCTGTAATAGTTTACATTCAATCAGATGTTCTGTGCTGGAGTATCTAAAAGAGACGTTATTTGTTATTGACAACAGCAAAATCTACAGTTCTTCCTATGTTGCAGGCTGTATTGATACAACATGCCTTATTATGTTAGTTTTTAGAAAGCTCGGATTTATTTTGAATTCCAACCTTTTAATTCGCAATTAAGTTTCTTAGATTACTGAAGTTTTATTAATTTTATTCTACTTTTAGAAACTTCAGAAGGTCAGTTACTCTCTTACAATAAAATAAAATTGAAGTAGTAGCTATTTTAATATGACAAGTTTATGCTATCTTGTAGTCATCAATGAAGTTTGGATTGAATGGTTGGTGGTTGGCACTGATAAACTAACTGGTTTCCACTGGTCCTCATGAACACTATGTTAGGCACTAGTCTTTACAGAATTGAGATTACCATGTTTCCAAAATATTAAATTATGCTCCATTATTGGCTAATGTAGTAAAAAGGTTAACCTGTTTTATCTACATTTCTGTGTTAGTTATTTTGATTTGAAATATGCTCTATGACAGTCACAGGATTATTGTTATGGCAGTTGCTCCAGCTGAGAGTATTGCCTCATTGATTAATGATCTCTTTTACGACATATTAAGACGTCTTGACGGCCCTACGTTGGCTTGTGCAGCTTGCACTTGTACATCATTCTGTTCCATCTCAAAAGAAGAGATCTTATGGGAAAATGTGTGTTCTTCAATGTGGCCTTCAACAAACAGGGAAGATGTCAAAATTTTAATATCTTTTATTGGTGGATTCAGAAAATTCTACGCAGATTGTTTTCCTCTTATTGTTATCAAGGAGGTTGGAGAGTATCAATGGAACAGATATCATGAGTACCCTGATGATTGGACTGAGGCTGAATATTATGGGGATATGAATGAATTGGAAAGCATCTCTCCATCCGATTTTGTTTCCATAGTGGATATCAAGTTCAAAGAGAAACCAATCTGCTCCAAAGTTCTATGGGGAATTCCAAACGCAAATGGCTATAATGGGTGGTTCTACAACTGTCCTTTCCGGATTGATCTTCTGAGTTGTGCTGATAGAGATGATAACAATGATGGTGTGTTTACCCTTTCTGTTTCTGATGGACTGCCACCAATTACTTCTATGGAAAGGGAAAAGAAAGATGGGAAGCTATGGCGGGAACTTCGTGATGGTCTCTTGCTTAGTTGGATCATAGTAAACAAGAAAATTAAGCGATCTGCTAATCTTGCTAGCTGGAGCCCTCTAGATGGACAAAGACATTGGCCAACAGACAAGGATTTTGTCTTTCGTTTTGGATCTGTTCTCTCTGCCAAGGACGTTCTTCCTTCTCAAGTAGTGCAGTGCATCTTTATTATGAAGTTTAGAGTTGTTCACACTGAACAAGAGGGGTTTCAAACAACTCTTAGATCAACAGAGCTGAGTATGCAGTTAGAAGACATGGAAGGTGCGCATGTTAATGGGAGGAAAAGTTTGCTTATTCTTAAGAAAGCACTTAGTTGCCGAAGAAGCACAAATTACAGTGAAGTACTTGAATCTTGTCTTGCATACTCAAAAATGCAAAATAAGTTAAAAGAGGAAAAGATTAGAAACGAAAGTAGGATTGATACAATTTGTATTCTAAGTAGCATTTTTGCTGTAATGACATTCTGGTACTATGTTTTGTGATGTGGTAAGGCATTGCTCATTTTACTGAAATAAGCTAATGTTGATCTAACAACATATTATCAGCTTTGGCTCTCTCTTATGTAACACAAGATTTCAAAATAAAGTAAATAATCAAAGACAGCTTCATTGCGAGAATTGAAGTTTTCTTGGTTTGAACCTTCTGCAAATTGACGGTATCAGCGGGAGCTGGTATTACAAAAATATTTTCACTGTTTGGAAGCTCTTTCATGTTCTTCAAATTTTGAAATTTAACTTATTTTCATTTATATGACAATTTATTCACTTTACCATCCAATTTATGTACTTAGAGATAATCTTCTCCAAAATAAGACATTACCTTAGCTACTTTCTTCTTAACTTCCCGAATTAACTTAATTATATGTCTATGTTATCTAACACTTGTTCAAATGTTTACGCAGGAATATAAACTTATCAAACTTGACCTTCTCTTGATTTATACTAAAAATATATCTTCTCATATCAAATTAAGTTAATTAAATCACGCACTTTGCTAACTTTATCACTGAAGCTTTACCTTCCTGCTTGTAATTCAGTTTGCCTTCCACAATAAGTAAATTAATCATAACCCAAAACAACATAAGCAAATTGAAATCAAAATGAGAGTTGATCATGAAAGAATAGAATAGGTAGTATTTGACTTTATTACTAAGCATTTTTGTGGTACACAAACAGATTCATTGCTTACAAAGGGTTCTGGTGGAAACATGAGAAAAAACTCCAACAATTCTGTATCTCTAATCGTCAAATGGGTACTGCTCATACCTGATCGTACAATCATGCAGCACCGAGCGAGCTCCTATCCGTTTGGGACATCCGTTGAATATGGCCGTTTTGGCAACACCAAGACAGGTTTTGCAGTCAGAGGTTGTGAGATTTAGGTTGCAAGCGGCATGTCCGTAGGCAAAGGCATTAGGATATGGAGAAATGTTGTAGTAATCGTAATTTTTCTGCGATGGAGTCTCTCTCTCCAATTCTTCAACAACGTATGATAAACTGACAGCAAAAGGATCACCTGAGGTGTACCCACCAACGTTGCACAGAACGGCGGTGATGTTCGTGTTGAGAACACTGTCAGCAACACTCCACAGGCACAGCCAAACAATCGTAGTTGCTGCAATTTCGGAAGAAATGCCCATCTTAATACTATGCTCTTCGATTAATGTCAACGACACAGTTTATAATTTGTGGGTAGGTTTGAGTCTTCTTCACTGATTTACTTTTAATTTCTCTTATGATCAAGTTGCAGTTCGCGTGATTGTCTTCATTCGCGTTCCAATATTCAAGAGTGAGTACTTAATTATCCTTTCTTGAAATAGATTCATTGTCCTCTTTTTCTTATAGTTCTTTCTGTCGGTTAGTTAATAAGGCTTTTGTGATTTGTATTAATGTGTTTGCCACTATGGTTAACAAACTAATAGTTGATTATTGAGCAAACAACATAAACATATGTATTATTAAGATAAGAGAAGCGACAAAAGTGGTTTGAAAATAAAGAATACTAGCCGTTTTGATCTACTGTATAAGAAAAGTAAAGTAATCCATGTGGAAATTACGTAAGTGACTTCTTCCTTCTCTGGACAAGTTGCCAAAAATTTGGATTATGTCTTTTTACAGGTCTTTAATCAACATATAACATGTTTTTAGTTTATCTATTATATTATAATTTATGGTAAAATTACAATCTGTTTAAACTTATTACAATATAACATTAATAATTTTAATACACGTTCGTGAAAAGAATTAATTGACTAGTTAAATATAAAAACTTTCATATTTACTTTTGTAATTAGAAATGATAAAATTGGTTTAGTCTAGCATGCTGACCCATCAACTCACTAAAATTTGGTGGATAGGTTAAAATTCTCAACCAATTAGACCACTCTGGTTCATTTCACTTGACCCATTAGATCACTCTGGTCCATTTCGCTTGACCCATCAATTTAATAGGTAAAAAAGGAACAGAATAGTATCTTATATATATTTTTTAAAATAAACAAATAATTTTAATTTTTGTGTGTGTATTATATAATTTGAAAAATTAAAATATATAATAATATTATAATTTAAATTATTAACCGTTACAAATTAAAGTTCTAATTATTAATTATAATATAAAAATTTAATATATAAAGATAATAATTATTTTAATTTATTTGATTAGAGATATTAAATAATTATTTAAAAGATAAAAAATATTCATAGTTTATTTTAATATGTACATTTATATTTATATATAATTAAAAAGCTCAAAACAAAATTAAAAATAAAAAAAAAAAGAACTAGTAGGTATCTTTAGTGGGATGTCTTAGAATTTCCAACCTATTTTCTTATGATGGGCTTGGCCGTACTGATCAACTTTTAGCTGACTAATAGTGGACCTAGCCAGGTGATTTGTGTTGTCAGTCATATGCGTAACACATGGAATGCATTACGAAGTTTACTTCATAAAACTTTATTTGAGAATAACTTATTTCTAGTTTAAGGAGAATTTGATTATAAGAAATATATCAAGATCACATTAATTGGTGTTAAGGTATTGTTTTCATAAATAAGGTTTACTCGATGAAAATATGAATTCAACATGATACAAGAATTACAAGGAGAGATATAAGATTGACTTATTAAAGTTGATAATGAGCAAGAAAGGTTGTGAGTTGAACTCTCCCACTAGCATTTAAAAGATATATGGTGAGTTTGAGAGTTCAATAGGTTAGATCATTCCCCAACAACAAATAGAGTTTAGTTCTCCATAAACATGGAGAAACTATATGAATAATGAAAAAACATGAGATAATGAAACCCTAAGAGTAGAATAGGAAGCTCCTCTAGATCCGCCTTTAGAGAGTGAAAGAGTGTGCTGTTGTGTTTCTCTAGCCAGAGATACAAAACCTAGAGCGCCTGGATCCTTTAAATAAAGTTGGAAAAGAGTAGAAACAAGGCCCGGTCCAAAAGAGTCGAAACAGAGCAAAAACTGGGTCGGATCTGCAACGCGCGACGCTCGGGCGCTCCATTTAGGGCGCCCGGGCGGTGGACGTCGATTTTCGTAGGGCTTGAGCCTTCAATTGGACGCCCGGGCTTTGGGGGCCAACGCTCGGGCGGCCTAGGAGGGCGCCCGGGCGGTGAACGCCGATTTTTCTATGATTAAGCTTCCTACAGGGCGCCCAAGCCTCGTGCGATTCCCCTTTTGGTTCTTTTCCAGGCATTTTTGAGCTCTATCTCCTTAGCACTTCATCTCTGCTTCCTGTATTAACTCATTTTCTATCAAAACAAAGGGAATTAGTCATTAAAATCATCAAATTCAATCTCAACTCTCTTATTCACACAAATTAATGAAAAACCAGGAGTCCAAGCAAGTTTCTAAGTCAAAAATGGTGCATTTAGTATCAAAATTACATCGCAAATAACGGTATTTTAAACCGTTATCAGAAAGGCAAGTAAAAAACCGAGTAAAATCATGTAGAACAATAAAATAATGCAAAGAATTGTAAATCAGTGCAAGAACAATAAGGAATGCAGGAAAAGTAAATTGAAATGAAGAAAATATAGCAAACTTGTATTGATTTCAAAAGAAAGTAAAGTGGGTTATACTCCTTTCCTTGGCGTTCCTTGAGATTATTGTCATTATAGAGTTTTTACACATGGGAAAGAAAATGAACCCAGCCTATGACTCAAAATCACATTATCAAAACATTGTCACTAGTACAGGCAGGTGAAACGACAGCGGTTGTTTTTCGTTATAGGCACCGGTTCTCGAACCGAGGCATATGCAGGCGAGGCAAAAAGTGTACTACTTTTGGCCCCGGGCTTGAACCGAAGCATAAAGGGAGGCGATTTGACATCGGTTCAACCACAACCGAGACAGTAAAGTTTTTGGATTTTTTTCTTTTTTTTTTTGAAGGACTATATGCCTCGGGTTAGGGGAACCGAGGTCGTATGTTCCACCCTACTGCCTCGGTTGTAGCTTGAACCGAGGTAGTAGAGGTCTTTTTTTTACGCAGTACTTTCTGCCTCTGTTGTGGTCATAACCGAGATCATAAGTTGCTTTTCTACCTCGGTTTTGACACTAACCAAGGCATATATCCTTGTTTTTTTTTTAAAAATGAGGTCTGTTTCTGCAACATTCCCAACAACAGAAACATACCTGCATATATATTTACAGCCAGAACAGTCGAGAATAATCCAGAAATGTATATTTTGAATGAAAATTATAATAAAACATAAATACATTCAATTGAATCATAAATCAACTT